GTAAACTCTGGTGGCGCAGTGGTTAAGAGCTCGGCTGCTAACTAGAAGGTCGGCAGTTCGAATCCACCAGCTGCTGCTTGGAAACCCTACGGGGCAGTTCGAATCCACCAGCTGCTGCTTGGAAACCCTATGGGGCAGTTCTACTCTGTCTTATATGGTCGCTATGAGTTGGAATCGACCTGATGGCAACAGGTTTTCTATGTAGTATGCCTAATAACAGGCACTGTTTGTAGTTCCTTTGTAGTTCTAGGAGGTAGAACTAGAATCAATGTTTGGAAATTACACAAAGTAAATTTTTTTTTTTTTGGCCCCAGTTGAAGAGAGAATTTTTCAATAATGGAAGCCATTTAAAAATGAATCGTTTTTATTATGAGGTTATAAATTCCTTTCAGGCATTGAAACACTGGTTGGTCATTCAATAATGATGTCAAGGTGATCCCTGTGTTGGGTGGGAGATTAGATTAAGTGGGCTGTAAAATTCTTTTTGACTATTAAGTTTTTCTGGTTTTGTGCTGGACGTCTTGGAGCTAATTAGAAGTCTAGCTGATACGAGACCTCAGACCTTCTAACTTCTTGGTCAGTGTCTTCTTCCATACCATCATGCCTTTGGCTTTCTTTTATTTCTACCTGTACTCTATTTAGTTCTGGCTATTTCTTTGTTCTTGGGTATGAAGTGGAAATTTCCCATATCCCGTTTGATGTTCATTATTGGATTTGTTTGCAGACAGTTTTGAATTTATCTCAGAGCTCCTTACACTAAATTCACTAAATATATTTAGTATTTTGTTCAGCAGCTACTCTTCAACTAGACAGATTTTTGATATAATTTTTTCAAATTTATTTTTAAATGTATTAGGTGTCTGTTCTTCTAAAATTATTGTTACCTGATGGAATAAATAGGAATCTTAAAATTGGTTGTTTAGAAAGAATAGACATTAAAGAAAAATGTCTGAATTCATTTTCACCTTTTTTGGGAGTGTCTCCTAATTACTTAAGTTGATCTCCAATTTGTTTCTCTGCATGTAGGATGCAAAGTCTACTATAGTGGGAAGGAACATCTAAAAAAAATGCTTTTGATCATTTATTTCTATGCCAATTTAACTGAAAAACTTATTTGAAATAGTAACAATTATTCAGATTAATTTACAGGCTCCTTCTGTGTCAAGTCTTATTTTAAATTAGTATAACACAATTTTCTTCTTTTCCCTTCAAACTGTTTAAATTTGGGGAGATAAAAAATGACCCAGTTTTAAAAACTGTTAATGATTAAAAACTAACATTTACAACTAAATGAAACAGTATAGCTTATTAATGGACCAAGAGTTTAGAGACTGGATTTCTAATCTTACTCCTGCTATTTATTAGTGTAAGTCTCATTTTTTAGTTTGTGAACTAAAGGGCTATGATGTTTGTGATTGTGACTCCACGTGGTGAGAATTAATAAGGGAGTATTTCTTAGAGTAGAAGAAGATAAGCATTGGTGGCTGGAGATCAAGAAGGAAGGAATTTTAGGGAACAAAAGCATGAATAAAACATATTCAGATTTTTTTTCCAGTTTAGGTCATTTTATGTACACTTCTCTACATGTTTCATTGGATTCTCTTGTGTGAGATAAGCAAAGCTGATACTGTCCCCATTTTGTAGGCAAGTGTTCTGAGATATGATGAGATCATTCTGTTTCCCCAAATGGCACAAGTTTAGGGTTAAAACCCATGTCACAAAATTATATAATAATAGTTTTAAAACTTATTTGATCCCCGAAGGACTAAGGGACCACAGCTACCAAGGCCTCCACCAGACTGAGTCCAGTACAGCTAGATGGTGCCCAGCTACCACCACTGACTGTTGCGACCGGGATCACAACAGAGAGTTCTGGACAGAGCTGGAGAAGGATGTACAACAAAATTCTAACACACACAAAAAAGACCAGATTTACTGGCCTGAAAGACTGGAGAAACCCCAAGAGTATGGCCCCCAGACACCCTTTTAGCTCAGTGGTGAAGTCACTTCCGAGATTCACCATTCATCCGGGGATTGGACAGCCCCATAAAACAAAGTGGGACTAATGAGGCACAGCAGTCCAAGGACAAGGACTAGAGGGCAGAAGGGGACAGGAAAGCTGGTAATAGGGAACCCAAGGTTGAGTAAGGACAGTGTTGACATGTAGTGGGTTCATTAACCATTGTCATAGGGCAACACGTGTACTAACTGTTTAATGAGAGACTATTTTGTTCTGTAAACCTTCATCTAAAGTGAGAATAGCAGCACAACTGGAAGAATGTAATCGATGTCACTGAACTGTGCATGTAGAAATTTTTGTTATGGTGTATCTTTGGCTATGTATATTTTCACCAGAAAAAAATGTCAAGAAGGGAGAGGATTGACATGTCGTGGGGTTGTTAACCAATGTCATAAAACAATATGTGTACTGACTGTTCAATGAGAAACTATTTGTTCTGTAAACCTTCACCTGGAGTACAATAAAAAAAATAAAAAATAAATAAGAGAAGAAAATACATAAAAAAGGAAAAAAAAACTTATTTGATCAAACTACCATCTTTCTTGTCTTGTGTTCTTTGTACTACACGACCTTCTGGTTTTTGACCTTTGTTCCCCCCATCTTTCATAGATGGACGAACATATAATCAATTAGTTGATATTTTGCCTTTTCACTACTCCTTGGTTTCAGGAAGAATATGGGATTAGAAATGGAGATTAATTGCATAACTCAGATTCTATAACTTTTTAAAATAGCAAATTTAGATTAACTGAAAAAGGTTTTTGTTTTGTAAACCTGGCTATAAGCGTGTTTTAATTGATTAGATTTCTGAAATGTGGAGAATTCCATGTTAATACAGGCATTTTAAAATCTATTATTTTCATCATGGAGATATATTTTAGAAGATATATATCTTCCTCAAAATAAAACCTATCAAATTTAGGTGGCTGTACTCAAAATTGAGAAGAGTGGTGAGTGGGGCTTAAGGGAAAGGGGTATTTTCACCTCTCTGTATTGTTTGACATTTTAAAATTTCAGTTAACATATTTTACAATAACTTTTTCCAAATAAAATTCCCCTTCAAAATAAGTAGAAATTATTCTTTCCCTCATCAATTCTTTAACCTCTAAACTGTTCACTCTTAATATGATTTGTTTTTTGGGGGGGGGGGTTGGGGGAGTGGTAAGCAGCTTTCCATCTCTAGAGGGAAGTCTGCAGGATAGGGAATTGCAACTCTGAAACCAGGCTACTGGCCTGCATCCAGAGGGACTTGTAGGGAAAGATAAAAATGGATACATTTGGATTTTAGTATACTGTCACACAGACCTGAATTTAAATCCTAGATCCTCTGCCACTTACTAGCTTTTGACCTCTAGTAAATTACTTAATCTCTGTAATTCTTAACTTCTCATCTGTAAAATGGGGCTACTAATGCCTCCCTCACATACTTTCATTTGGTGAGTGGGAAGCTGAGGGTAGAAATACTGTACTGTAGGATATGCCTGCATGGTACAATGTATATACTTAATAAATTAGAATAATAGTAATAGTAGTTATTATATAGTTCTCCTTTCTATATCTTCTTATTTCTTGTTTTCCCAGCTAAAATGTAAATTTGTTGAGTAAATTAACTTTGAAATTAAAGCATTGAATAAATATTTGGTGATTGATGAATGTCATGCTTGAGAGGCTTTCTGCATATCTGTTATCCATTTGGTTACTAGTACCTCCTAGGTGCATTCACCAGCCACTCCTTGGAAACCCTATGGGGCAGTTCTGCTCTGTCCTATAGGATCATTATGAGTAGGAATTGACTTGATGGCAACAGGTTTTTATGGGTGGTACGCTCAAACAAAGATGTCACTATGAGGACTAGGGTGTGCCTGACCCAAGCCATGGTATTTTCAATTGCCAAGTATACATGTGAAAGCTCGACAATGAATAAGGAAGACCAAAGAAGAATTCATGCTTTTGACTTATGGTGTTGGCAACAAATATTGAATATACTATCTGCACTGGCAAAAGAATGAACTAATCTGTCTTGAAAGAAATACAGCCAGGATGCTTCTTAGAAACGAGGATGGCAAGACTTTGTCGCATGTACTTTGGACATGTTTTCAGGGGGGACCAGTCCCTGGAGGACATTATGCTTGTTAAAGGAGAGGGTCAGCGAAAGAGAGAAAACCCTCAAGGAGATGGACTGACACAGTGGCTACAACAATGGGCTCAATCATAGCAACAATTGTGAGGATGGCAAAGGACTGGGCAGTATTTCGTTCTGTTGTACATAGGGTAGCTGTGAGTAGGAACTGACTTGATGGCACCTAACAACAACAGTTACACTCGAAGGAGCCCTGTGGTGCAGTGGTTAAGTGCTCAGCTGCTGAAAGTTGTGGTTCGAACCCATCAGCTGCTCCGTGGGAGAAAGATGTGGCAGTCTGCTTCCGTAAAGATTACAGCCTTGGAAACCCTATGGGGCAGTTCTCCTCTGCCCTATCGAGTCGCTATGACTCAACGGCAATAGGTTTTTGTAGGTGCACTCATCTGGTTGTTTGAAATATTGATGAGTTGATATTTTAATGTTTGAATACATTCTTTAAAGTGATTCTGTGACCTATAGACTGTAAATTTGAAGAATAATAGTGTGCATTTATTTCACATTGCTCTTACGATCTATCCTTTAAGTTATATGGATCACGAACATTAGTTTAGTTATATATAAATCATGATGAAGATTTAGTGCTTGGAGGTGGTAATCAAAAGACTTATTTTTAAGAGTACATTATTTCCTGAAAGAAAAGGTATTTCTAAATTAGTATTTTCAATTAATGGGAGAATAGGATTCTTATTTATAAAACTTTAGTCTATGCTAAACTTTTCAGAAACGTATCTCTTGCTAACCACATTATATCAGTACTAGATTTTATGTAAATTTGTCAATGTGTTTTTTGGGAAGACTATTTTTCCCCCACTTATAATTATATTATACTTTCCTTTCTAGAGCATGAAGGGAAAAAGCAAAAGTAGTCATGACTTGCTTAAGGATGATCCACATCTCAGTTCTGTCCCAGCTGTTGAAAGGTTAGTATGTTTTGGCATGATTCTAGGTTCTTATTTTCTGGCTCAAAAAATTTTTCTTGCTTCCTTTGTGTATAAACAGTCCTCATAAATCAGATTTTTTCAACCTAACTGAAAAAGTCAAGCAATTTTGACAATGGAGGTGGTAGATCTCCTAGCATGATGGAGAAAAGCACTTTAATCACTTCTACTCCTTTTGCTTTCTACAGTTGTTCAACTACTGTAATTAAATGTAAAATTAATTATTAAACTTTTGTAATTTAGAATAGTTTGAATACTAGGAAAGTGCTTTAACTGTTTCTTTGCTAATTTTTTCTTTGAAGCATTTTTGTCTCAGTTATTATGGGTAATAAGCAAAACAGAGTTGAAGGTTTTTGTGAAGAAGTCACCACATTTTGGGCCGATCCACTGAGTTATTTCTCACATACTTTCAGGAGTTAACAGAAAATTGTCTTACTGTCTTTGTTGCTCCTCGAGAAAGGAAGATATCTTAGTGTTAAATGACATTGGGCCAGTGTCTCCAAACAGGGAATAAAATACTATCATACTGAGTTTAGCTCATTTTTAAAACCCCTATTTCAAAGTAATCTTTTCTTAATATTATTTTATTTGAAGGATTTGGTTTCTGCAGTCAAATTTCTTCAAACTAATAGAAGAAATAGTTTTCTGCAGACCGTTGTTCACAAAAACGGCACCGTTGGTTGTTGTTGCTGGTTTTTTTTTTTTTTTTTAATTCTAGTGAATTCATGTATCTGCTAATGGAACATACCTCTGATTCTATTTACAAATGTTTGATTGTAAATGTTTAATATTTATAAATGTATGATTTTATTTAGAACGTTTCTGTTTTTCTATAATGCCATTCTAAGATTACTATAATGAAGTAAATTTTTGGAGCATTCTTCCCAGCAAACTATTCTAGATTTTTGGATTATTGAATAATCTTATTAGTTTCATTTTGAAGCTGAAATTTGTTTGTCTACTTTTTTTTTGTAGTGAAAAAGATACAGCAGGAGATTCAGATGATGTGAGTATTAATTTTAGTATAAATATACATTTGAACAATTTATAGTAAGTTCTAAATTTTTACAAAAATTATTTTTTCTTCAAAAGTAATTTATATTTTATTATTATACATATGTAAAATTTTGAAAAAAAATTGAAAAATAAAAATCATTTATTTTGATATTGGAATATTTCTTTCCAAGTGTGTGTGTATGGATATTCCCTAAAAAACTGGACTCATACATATGAATTTCTGGCCTGCTTTTTTTCCCCAGACATGACAATACTCGAATGCTCAAATTTCAAATGCCATTAATTTTCTTTTATTAGTTGAAAGTTTAAGTATTGATGGGTGTGTGTCATACTTGATGTATGGGAAATGCTTGAATCAGTGATTTTTAGTCTTACAGATAGATACATTTCAGAAGATTCTCATTCAAGACTGTGGTATAGTGATCTCTCTTTGTTAGTTGTGCTGGCTTATAAAGCTGATAAACCACAAGGCAGAGTTTCTTTTAATGTGTAAGAGATTAAATTTTCAAGTTATCTGAATGCTGCTTTGTATAAAACCTGTTGATCTGTGCATTGTATAATTCATTAGGAAGTACATAACTTTCCATGCCTGAACACAGCTTTATACCACAATCAAAAGGGAGAGTTCTCTCTGACTATATGTAGTAGAGGGAGGATGAATTTCTAACCTGGTCAAGAAAACCTTCCTGGAAGAGGTGATGTTGTGTTGTATCTTATAGGAAAAGTAGGAGTTAGCTTGGTCAAAAAAGAAAGTGGTGAAAGGTGGAGTCCCTCTAGCTCAGAGAACAGCATATGCTAAAGCATGAAAGCAAGGAGAAGTAGTACCTTATTTAGGAAATACAAGTTGAGATAGAAAGTTTGAAAAACAGGCTGAATTTTTAAGTGCAAGGAGGAAGACTGTTGAAGGTAGAGGAAACTACATTTGTAAAAAGGCTTAGAAGCAGGAGAGAGTTGTGTTCCAGAAGCTGAAAGCAGGCAGACATGACTGGAGTGTAGTGACAGGAGGGAGAGTGGGATGAGTTTGGAGAGGTAGCAAGGGGTCAGATATTACAGAGCTTTGTAGGCCATGATGAGGAGTTTGAATTTCATCCTAGAAGTGAGGAACAGATGAAGGATAGTTAAAAAGAAAGATGTTATGATCAACTTTGCATTTTAGGAAGATTACCATGGCAGTGTTATAGAGGACAAATTAGATAAACAGTCTGGAGGCAATGAGACCCATTAGGAAGCTATTGGCAGGAGGAGAGCTTGATATAAGACCACGGTCACGAGATGGTAAAGGGATAGACTTGAAAGAGGTCTAGGAGGTGACTGATTCCATACTATCAGGTGATAGAGAAGAAGGAGTCTAGGACAACCATGAAGCTTTTGGCTTGGGCAACTTGTTAGATGGGTACAAAAGAGAGTAGGTTTGAGGTGGAAAAATAATAAAAAAAATAAAAAATAGTGAGGCTAGTTTTACACACCTTGCAATTAAGGTAACTTGGAAAAATCTGTGTAACAATAATATGGTACTGGAAGATAGGAACAAGGTCTAATATAAAAGTAAAGATTTGTTCTTAAGGTCATGGGTTGGGGTGAGGTCATCTAAGGATAGTGTATGGTCACAACCTGTTTTGTGTCCCAGATCCTTTGGAATGACTTGAACTGTAGACCTTCTTCCCAGAAAAATGTACTACCTCCACACAGAAAGTTTTATGGATTTGCAGGAGATATTTTTAGATCTCCTGAGGCCCAAGTGTAGAAGGCCTAGCTAGGTCAGTGATTATTAAATTTTAGTGCTTAAGAATTAATTGAACAGGTCACTGAAAACAATCACAGTCTGTCTCGAGATTTTGGTTCAGTAAGTCTGGGACGAAAACTAGGATTTTACACTTTTAACAAACAACGCATGTACTTTGAGGACCAGACTTTGAGAACCTTTGCTCTAGGGGTCCATCAGCCTCAAGTTAAGAATCCTGCCTCACCATAACTCGCCTGATAGAAGAATCACAAGAGAAAAATGACCCACTTGGGCTACTTCCTTCTGTCCTTCTCTCCGTTCTCCTCTCACTCCTACATCTTCTTTTCTTCCTTCACTCCTTCGTCTATTAGTGCTGGGAACTATTCTGGAAGTTGAAGATATAGCAATAAACAAAACAGGCCAGAATTTTAGCCCTCATGGTGTGTTTACTCTAAGGGTGGGGGAGAGACAATAACCACATAAATAAAACAGATTATATGCCAGATGGGGGGAAAAAGCCTTGGAAAGTAAACCAGGGATGGAGGATAGAAGAGTACTGGAGGTGGGTGGGTGGTTCTGCCATTTTAATAGGGTGATCAAAAAAAGCGTCACTGAGAGGGTAAAATTTAAGTAAATTCATGAAGGAGAATGAAGCAAGCAATGCAGACATCTGGAATAAGAGCATTTCAGACTAGAGACAACAGCAACTCTAAAGGTGGTGAGGTATAGGCTCTCCTGGCTTGTTTACGAACAGGAAGTTGGCCAGTGTGGCTGTATGGAAGTTGTAGGAGATTATGTCAGAGAGATACAGATTATATACGGCCTTGAATGAGTTGGGGAGCCTCGTTGATGATGGTATTGAGAAGAGAAGTGATTGCTATGACTAAGATTATAGGAAGAAATTTCAACTTCTCCAACTACACCTCTTCTACTTGAATTAATTCTGAGCTGAGGTCAGTAGGCTAGCTAACTGCCTCCAGGAGCCACATTCCCCAATGGGATAAGAGCAGAAGTGTAGATAGACGCAATATCCTAGGTGATTTCGAGGGAGCACAGTCTGTGCTGCACAGAGGGGATGGGCCTGAGGTGAGTAAGCAACCCTTTGTGGAATATCCTATACTGATGTAATTGGCCTAGAAGAGGCCCCAGGGGGTATTCCCATCTGGAGCAGATTCTTGAAGCCCTTACTAATTAAAAACAAAACAAAACAAAAAACTCACCTGCCCCAGAATGTGAAGAGAGGCTGAGGTGGACCTCTGGAAGTGAAAGGGAAAATTGAATGCCTGGCAAATATCCAGTTTCAATTTTGACAGGATGGAGAAGATCAAAGTGCAGAGCATGATGAATATATTGATGGTGATGAGAAGAACCTGATGAGAGAAAGAATTGCAAAAAAGTTAAAAAAGGACACAAGTGTAAATCTTAAATCGGCTGGTGAGGGAGAAGTGGAGAAGAAATCAGTGAGCCGCAGGTGAGTCAGTTATTCTACTTCTACGTATCAGTTTTAATTTTTTGTCTTTCCATCTTTCGTTTTAAAATAAGATTGAATCCTTGATTCAACTTTTTAAAAAAAAATACCATTTAGTAATGTTTGATAAATAAACCAGTTATGCAGACTGGCCCATTTAGGGACTTAAAAGAAAATAAACCAGGTTTAAAGTAAATACAGCATTGGTCCTATGAGAGGAGCCCTGGTGATGCAGTGATTAAAGTGCTTGGCTGCTAACCAAAAAGTTGGCGTTCGAACCCACCAGTCGCTCCATGGGAGAAGGATGTGGCAGACTGCTTCCATGAAGATCTACAGCTTTGGAAACCCCATGGTGCAGTTCTACCCTGTCCTGTAGTGTTGCTATGAGTCAGAATCGACTCAATGGCGGTGGATTTTCTTTTTTTTTTTTTCCTGGTTTGGGTCCTATGAGCCAGATTCCACTTCATTTTTCTTTGACCCCTTTCTGTAAAGATTCTGTAAAATTAGTTTCTATAGGAAAAACCGTATATTAGCTAGGTATGGAAGGTTGTGTTTGTTTAATACCAATGAGAGCAGTGGAATAATTATACAGAAAGAAAAGATGTCGTCAGATAATTAAGGTGTGTAAAAATTGTCAAAACTGATTAAGAAAGTATGTGGGCCTGAAAACATTCTTAAATATCTTTTCAAGTCTGATTTACCAAATATTTTGTGCCCCTCCTAATCTCAATGGTATCTTAAAAGAAATTTCAGTAAACGCTGAAAAGTTCACTATCCGGTAATATAGGTTGTTGGATTTTGTTCTTCAATATTGCATTCTCCTGAAATTCAACTGAATTGAAAAACTCTTTTCTTTCCTTTCTGATTCTATTATTACAGTATTATGGTCTACATTTTAAATAATGTTGCTTTAAAAAATAATGCTATTTGCTTTCTTCATGTGGCTTATATTTGGGGATGAGATAGATTTAACTATGTAAATAACATTCTTCCGTCATATTTCACAACTTCATATAGAAAAACTTTAAAGAAAAGATTTCCATGTTGTCATGGTATAGTTCTTCTCAATTTTTTTCTTTGTGTGACAGAGATAAAAGTAGTTCTCAGAACTTTCCACTAAAGTTGTAACCTTTTCAGTTCAGAAATAGTACTTAGAAGTTATCTTTTATTTCTTTTTTTCAGAAACATTCACCTGAGGCTCAAGTAATGACTTTCATATTTAATATAGTAGATTAACTTTGGGCTAACATTGACTCAAGATTTTAGTGATCACATATATATACATATATGTATATATGTATGTTTACTAGGGATAGAGTTGATGATCCTCTCATCAGCCCTGTAATTTTTAATCAAGTTGTGAATATAGTCAAGGATACATAATATTTTTTTTCATCTCTCTCAAAGCTGTGTTTTCTGATTTTTAAGAATTATGAATTATTTTAAAGATTTGGTTTATAATTTTTGAAATTTTAATAGACAAAACAAATATTTATTTAAATGATGTTTGTTTCTTAAGCCCTCAACTCTGTCTTGTAGGCCTTAATACTATTTCAAATGCTATATACAATATAATTAATATATAGTTTAGCAAAGCTAGATTTTCTGCGTTGTGTTGCTGCTGTGTGCCGTGGAGTCAATTCCTACTCATAGTGACCCTATAGGACAGAGTAGAACTGCCCCACAGGGTTTCCTAGGCTGTAATCTTTATGGGAGCAGATCGCCAGGTCGTCTCTTTCAGAGCAGGGCAGCTAGTGGGTTTGAACTGTTGACCTTTTGGTTAGCAGCCAAGCACTTACCCACTGCGCCACCAGGGCTCCTTGAATTTTCTATAATAACTAAATAAAGCTTAGTTTTTAATGTATCTTTCATAGTAGTCTTAAAAATTGATTATTTAATATAAAAATTATCAAACAGATTGTATTTTCCAAAAAATGTATTCATCTTTACAGCAAACCATACCAGTTTCCTTTGAGTCAGTTCCAAATTATGGCTACCACATGTGTGTCAGAGTAGAACTGTGGTCCATAGGGTTTTTAATGGCTGATTTTTCAGAAGTATATTGCCAAATCTTTCTTCCAGGTGCTCCTGGGTGGACTAGAACTTCCAACTTTTTGCTTAGTAGCCGAGCTCTTAACCATTCCCAGGGGCTCCTTTATAACAAAGGTTATTCTTAAAAGATTCCCTTGGCAGTGGTGTAGGGTCAGATGAATAAGTATGACATTGATGGCCAGATTTAGTAATATGGACTTAAGAGAGCAGGGGGAGCCATTGAAAAATTTTTACAGGTGAGTGATGCACTGAGATTGTCTGTAGTATGGAGAATGGATAGATGGAGAGACGAGACTGGAGGAAGGCCAGTTAGTAGGCATCTTCAGTAAATCCACGTGTGAGATGGTGGTGACCTGATCCTCGGGTACTGGTTATTCTGAAGGATGTTTCACGTGAGTAGGATGTGTGAATCTTTTTGTTTTTTTTATTGTGCTTTAGGTGAAAGTTTACAGCTCAAGTTAATTTCTCATTCAAAAATTTATACACATATTGTTTTGTGACATTGGTTACAATCCCCACAATGTGACAGCACTCTCCTTTCTACCCCATTTTCCCTGTGTTCATTTGTCCAGTTTTTCTGTCCTTTCCTGCCTTTTTGTCTTGCTTTTGGGCAGGAGTTGCCCGTTTGGTCTTATATATTAGATTGAACTAAGAAGCATGTTCCTCACATGTGTTATTGTTTGTTTTATAGGCCTGTCTAATTTTTGTCTGAAAAGTGGGCTTTGGGAGTGGTTTCAGCTTTGAGTTAGAAGAGTGTGCAGGGGCCATAGTCTCAGGGGTTCCTCCATTCTCTGTCAGACCAGTAAGTCTGGTCTTTTTTCGTGAATTTGAATTCTTTTCTACATTTTTCTCCCACTGTGTCCAGAACTCTCTGTTGTGATTCCTGTTAGAGTGGTCGGTGGTGGTAGCCAGGCACCATGTAGTTCTTCTGGGCTCAGGTTGGTGGAGGCTCTGGTTCATGTGCTCCTTCAGTCTTTGTGTAAGTATATATTTTCCTTGTGTCTTTGGTTTTCTTCATTCTCCTTTGCTCTGGATAGAATGAGACCAGTAAATGTATTTTAGATGGCTGCCACAAGCTTTTAAGACCCCAGGTGCTACTCACCAAAGTAGGATGTAGAACATTTTCTTTATGAACTATGTTATGCTAATTGACCTAAACGTCCCCCGAGACTATGGTCCCCAGCCATCAGCCCCAGCAGCTTGGTCCCTCAGGGTGTTTGGATGTGTCTAGGAAACTTCTATACCTTTGCCTTGGTCAAGTTGTGCTGACTTCCCCTGTATTGTGTGTTGTCTTTCCCTTCACCAAAGTTGACACTTGTCTACTATCTAGTTAGTGATTTCCCTTTCCCCTCCTTCCCCACCGTCGTAACCATCAAAGAATATTTTTTTCTGTGTGTAAACCTTTTCTTGAGTTCTTGTAATAGTGGTCTCATACAATGTTTGTCTTTTTGTGATAAGAAATATTCTTGATCTTTTCATTTGAAGCTTAGTGTTTATGATAATTTCTTATATAGCAACATCTATATCCATGCATGTTAGCAACACTTTCCCTTTTTATAAGCTAGTATAATTTGCAAAAGAATTTTTTAAAAAAAATTTATTTGACACACTCTTTGTCTTAGTCATCTAGTGCTGCTCTTAACAGAAATACCACAAGTGGATGGGTTTAGCAAAGACAGGTTTATTCTCTCACAGTCCTGTAGGCTACAAGTCCAAATTCAGGGCGTCAGCTCCAGGGGAACACTTTCTCCTTTGGCTCTGGAGGAAGGTCCATGTCATCAATCTTCCTTTGGTCTGGGAGCTTCTCTGTGCAGGAACCTCAGGTCCAAAGGACGCCCTCTGCTCCCGGCACTGCTTTCTTGGTGACAAGATTAGATAGTGTCTTAATGCAATCTCTTCTCTCTTTTATATCTCAGAAGAGACTGCATTAAGACACAATCTAATCTTGTCAACCTCATCAGTATAACCTCATCACAGTAATAGAATTTACAACACATAAGGAGATCACATATATTCTCATCATAGCGATAGAATGTACAACACATAAGGAAACCACATCAGATTACACAGTCATACAACACTGGGAATCATGACCCAGCCAAGCTGACAGATATTTTTGGGGGACACAACTCAATCCATGACACTGTTTGAGTCAGTTAACTAGTATTTTATTTAGGATATTTGTATTATGCACATAAGTGAGATGGACTGATAACGTTCAAGTATTTGCGTTATCCAGTTTTATTTTTTCCCATACAAAAATTTATGCATACATTGTTATGTGACTCTAATTGCTCTCCTCATACTGTGACAGCACACTCCTCCCTTCCACGCCTGATTCCCCGTGTCCATTCGACCAGCTCCTAACCCGCTCTGCCTTCCCGTCTTACCTCCAGACAGAAGTTGCCTGTTTAGTCTCTTGTATCTACTTGAGCTAAGAGGCACACTCCTCACGAGTATCACTTTATGTCCCACAGTCCAGTCCAATCCGTCTGAAGAGTTGGCCTCGGAAATTGTTCTAGTTCTGGGCTGATAGAGAATCCAGGGGCCATGCTTTC